TGCGTAAATGGGGTGGTAGTGGCATGTACCTGAAGAGTTTAAAAAGTCAAGGCCATCTTCAGCAACACAGGGAGTGTGACTTTAGCCTGGCTCAGCAAAACAACACTTTACAACCCAGCATGCCGAGGTTGAGAAACACAACTCTGCTGCCCCTCAACTTGAGATGTTGAAGAAATGACCCAAGTGTCCAAGTGCCAGGTGCCCTCCTAGAGGATGCCAGCCCTGGGGGCAGTGGTGTGTGCACGCTACCTCAGAATTCACAGTACAGCGAGGCCAAATGGCCAGTGAGTGAAAGGGAAACGTTTGCAGCCTGCTTTCTGTTCCATGATGACCAGCTGCTCACCATCAGGTGGAGAGCGTCTGCCGTGGGGAGCAGATGCCCTCTTCGAGGAGCAGCACTAGAAACCTCTTGGAACGCTCTCCTGTCACAGGAGGCAAGGAAGTGCCCTACTGTTGCCCGGTGCCACGAGCTGTTTTCCTTCGGTGGCACTTGGCCAGGTGGAAATGTGGAGGATTGTAATAGGACCCCAGGAGGGAACAGAACACACACAGCTGCTGACCGTGGGCCAGCTCCACAAGAGCCCCATGCCAGAGACAGCAGTCTCTGAACAGCCTGGCTGTCAGGAAAAGGAAGCCTCACTGGCAAGTTTACTGAGAAGCCAGCCCTGCAGGAGAAAGGACTTCATTGGAAAGGACATTGCCAGGCCTCATGCCAGGAGAGCTGGGTCATCTCTAGTGCCTGACTCTCCGGCTCATTTTGTCTTTTGTGCACACACATCCCAGTAAGCACGAGCACTCTCCTCCACTTTCAAAAGTGTCTTAGTTTGGATCTGAGCATGGTGGTGTACCTGTGTCACCCCAGCTATTCTAGGAACAGAGACAGAAGGACCATCAATTCAAGGCCATCTTGGGCAGCTTAGATCCTGTCTCAAAAGGGAGATGAGGCAAAGTGGTAGAGTCTGTCATTCCGGCATTTGGGAGGCAGAGGCAGGAGGATCTCAAATTTTGAGGTCAGCCTGGGCTTCTCAGTGAGACCTCAAAAACAGCAGAAAACTGTCTCAATTATAAAATCAGAAGACCGCTCTATTGTACCTTTCCCTCCTAACAATGCTTTCCCTTCATTATACGTATTTAAGTTTTTGTACCAAAAAGGGTACACCTTAGACTGAGGTGTGGGCTTGTGAGATGGCCCCACCTAACCTGCTGAGTTCAATTCTTGAGACCCAGCAGGAAGAGTGAACAAACACCAGTAAGCTGTCCTCTGACCTCGGGCTCTGTAACCTCACACCTTCCCCCGGTAAATACAATTTTAAGATAGAGAAGAGTCAATGATCCAATCTCAGTGATGGTATCAATCCACAACAGCATGTTTTCTGACTGGGGTACATAATTGAAATCCCTTGGAAAAGAGAATTTTTTTTTTTTTTTAAAGGTGGGAGTTTGAAACTTCATCCCAATGTCTGTAAATCTCAATGGGAAACGTAATGGGTGGGCGGGAGGAGCGAGGGGTGATAATCTACACACTAGAAAATGAGTTTGGGTCACTGGGCCGAGCCACCTGACGAGCCTCTGAGCAGGGGCCAATTTTCCTGAAGTCAGCCTCCAGATTTTGACGCTGCTCTGAAAGTTGACAAATTCACACCACTCACCATTATGATTCATCCTTCCAGAACTGCTCCTGGCAGCTTAGGGTGGGGGAGGAGGTCTGCACCACACGGCTGGGGTGGGATTTTTTTTTTTTTTTTGGTCAAAGATAAAAGTATTGATGTCCTAGTTTTGTTCTTAATATGCAAAGAAGTTACTCTTTTTTTTTTCTTGTTACTTTCCCCGCCTCTTCTAGACAGAATCACACTATGCAGTCCAGTTTGGCTACATTTAATATTTCAAGAGTATTTGGTGATTTCATAACATCCTGAACAATGCAGACCAATGCTCTAGCTCTGGGTTAGAGTCTCTGGTGAGGGTGAGGGTTGGTAAATTCTGAATAAGAGATTGCCTGTCGGGTGAGTGCAGTGGTACACACCTGTGATCCCAGCACTCTGGAGGTTAAGGCAGGACATTCAGTTTAAGGTCATCCTTGGGTGCACAGTGAGTTCGAGGCCAGTCTGGGCTGTGTGGGACCCTGTCACAAACAAAGCCCAACAACAGAAATAGCTGTAAAATAAAGATACACATTTGTCTACTAAATTTAGGATCTTAGATGTTTCTTTTAAACATAATGTCAAGGGATGAAAATCTTTCGCTTCTGTTTCACTCACAGGGACAACTGGTTAAGAAACCATGCTATGTGTACTGCCACCAGTTCAGTGGCCAGATGTCTCAGTTATTCAGTTAGGGGCAGGGAGCAAGGTGGGGGATTGGGTTAGTGGAGTCAAACATAGAAATGGATGTCTGATTGGGCAGTTGTCCTCTCAGAGGGTTGGTTGAGACCTTGGGCTGGCTGGGGAGAAGTTTGTTGTGTGAGGTTTAGTTTTCAGCCAGCTGTAGGAGTTTGTTTCCCTAAGGTTCTCTCTCCTTTAGGATATTCCCTCCTGGGAGCCTCTTACTCTTGAGTATTTGTCCCCACTTTTCTTTAATCTAAATTTTCTCTGGGGGGAAAACCCACAAAGATGAAACAACTCTCCCTTGGAAAAAAGAACCCCAAAATTAAATCAGCCTCCTTCAGGACTTTCTTCCAACAGAAAATACCCTTCAGCTTGCGGATAGAATCCTCTCACCAAACCTGCTTCACCTCTCCTCAAATGTCAGGGTCAGAACAGTTGCTGACTAGATCCCCATCCCTACTAGCCCAGAACTCACCATGCAGACCAGGATGGCCTGTAACTTTGTAATGATTCTCTTGCCTCTGCCTCCAGAGTGCTGGATTTATAGATTTGTATACTATACCCTGCTGAGGACAGATTTCCAAGGTGCTTCTTTTCTTTTCTTTCCTCTTTTTTTTTTTTTTTTTTTTTTTTTTCGAGACAAGGTTTCTCTGTGTAGCCCTGGCTGTCCTGGAACTCACTCTGTAGACCAGGGTAGCCTCGAACTCAGAAATCCGCCTGTCTCTGCCTCCCAAGTGCTGGGATTAAAGGCGTGCGCCGCCACTGCCCGGCCAAGATGCTTCTTTCTTTCTTTATGTCTTTACTGGATAATCTTCCTTCCTTCCTTCCTTCCTTCTTCCTTCCTTCCTTCCTTCCTTCCTTCCTTCCTTCCTTCCTTCCTTCCTTCCTTCCTTCCCTAAATTTTACTGTTAGAAAGTCCAGAGGTCTGAGTATGTTCATCTCCCTATGGTGCACAGAAAAAAAGAGACATTTGCAATTAGGCAAGTGATGGTTTCCTTAGGTCTTCAGGTGCAGAAGGCATCACCCTACTAAGGGACTATGTTTTAAATGCCGGAAGCAATGGCCATATGGCCAAGTGATTAAGAGCATGGGCCAGTGCAGGGAGTGATGGAGTCTTCTCATCCTCTTTTCCTTTTCAACTCTCCCTTCACTCTCCTGGGGTGGGGGATCCCTGTTTCTGGTGTCTGACTCAAAGAGTACTCCCACAGTCATATTCTTCCCATCTAGTCTTTCAGAGTGGGACTCTGGGGGTTTCTCAAGGAAGGATGGGTGGGCATAGGAGATGTTTGTGGTAAACACTGAACAACACCCATTGTTCGTACCTGTGGGTTGCGATTGGTGGGAAGGTTCCTAAAGCAGTAGGCAATTGGTTCTCTCTGGTTCACCTGCTCATATACTGCCACCTAGTGGTTGTCTCTCCTTCTAGCACCCTGGGTAATAGGGGATGTTATAGATACTTCTTCAGTGAGACCCCCTAGACCCAAACTGTCGCATGCTTCTTACCTCTTATAATTTGTTCCCATTTTTTTTTAATCTCTGGGTCTGGAAGTGAGTAATTAGCATAAGGGATTTTTTTGGCCTTTTTTTTTTCCCACTTTGACAAACTTGGAATCTACCGCCATCCCTGTGTGCTGCCTCGATTCTCCCCTGTGGTGATGCGAGACGAGAACTTGCTTACAATATATCCCTGACAGAGGTGGGAAAGGCCTCTGCCAATGCAGGGCTGCTCCACATAGGCAGTCTTGATATACAATTTCTATAGCTGCTCGGGTGCTTGTCTTGTAAAACGTCTCGTGTAGAGTCTGGCAACAACAGCTAGCCCTTACTGAGCGGTTACCATGTGCCAGGTTCTTCTCCAAGTACAGAGAACTTGACAAACCCCTTCATCTCCCTAATTACCCAGTGACCTGCTGAGAGAGGGAGGGAAAACATACCCCTTCTTCACGGAAGAAACGGAGGTACCAAATGCTAACACATCATACAAGGGAAAATGAGATATTCCCAGGTTGTCTAGCTCTGGAGTTTGTGTTCTCAACCACTGTTCTGTTGCCTTGTCAATGCGCAGAACTATGTGCAGGTGATTGCTAAAGGAGCAGGAGTCCCTGGATTAGAGAGCCCTGCATGTCCTCAACCCATCCGGGACTCCATCACTGAAGACCACAGTGCTCGCAAAGGCGCTCTCCAACGTGCTGATTTCCAGGCGTTGCGTCTATGTCTCAGAGGTTCGTCACAGAAGAAACAACCAAGAAGCCAACCAAAGACAGTCTGAGGACCTGACCAGACAGACACTAGTTGTGCTGGGTTCCAGAGATGACTTTCCTAAAAGACAGTCAAAAACCTCCTTCTCTGTCTGGACTTTGGTTTTCGCTCTGACTGTCCCGTCCCACTTTGCAGATGGTAAGAATACCTAGCAGTGGCATGCTGATACTATTAAAACTTAACATTTGCTTATTTCTTAGTTTTATTCATTCATGTATGTGGGTATACACATGCCATGGTACACGCGTGGAGGTCAGAGGACAGCTTGTGGGACCAGGTTCTCTCCTTGTACCGTGTGGGTCCTGGGGACTGGGCTCAGGCATCAGGTTTCCATGGCAACAGGTGCTCTTACCCACTGAACCATCTTGCCGACCCTTGATATTATGTCAGAAAAGAATTCAGCCCCATCACACAAGGCAAAGAAACAAATCCAAACTTTATTTGTGCTCTGCAAGCCACGACCCACCGGTAACGTTTTTCTTCCATGATTTCCTTCGTTGCTGTCTTCTTTGTTAGCAGGCTTGTAGAAAAGGCTTATGGGACATAGAAAGGACAATAAGCTAGAAGCTGGCTGCTTGAGGAACAGGTTTGATGAACTGTCTTCTTCCTACTTGTCTTATTAGTGGCTTAAAGTCACACGAAGCAACAGAGTCTTGGCTCCGTTCAGCGAAGAGAAGAATCCACGGCCAGGGTAGGGAACGTGTTTTTGATGATCTGTTTCTTCCTCAAGGTAGGAGAGAAGATATGTTCCCTGAAGGATAAGAAAGGTAAATTTTCTTTTTACGACTAGAATATAGAAGCATGGGTAGGGTGCAGCCCAGCTGCTAGAGTGCTTGCCTAGTGCATGAGAAGCCCTGGATTCAGCCCCTAGCACAGCACCGACTGGGTATGGTGGTGCACATTTCTTACTCCAGAACTCAGGAGGCAGAGGCAGGAGGACCAGATGTTCAATGTCATCCTTAGTTACACAGCAAGTAACTGAAGCCAGCCTAGGATATATAAGATCATGTTTCAGAAAAATAAAAATGAGGCTGGAGAGATGACCCAGAGGTTAAGAACACTGGCTGCTCTTCCAGAGGTCCTGGGTTCAATTCCTAGCACTCACATGGCAGCTCACAACTGTCTGTAACACGAGTTCCAGGGGATTTGACAGCCTCACACAGACACACATGCAGCCAAAACATCAGTGCACATAAAATTAAAATAAATTATATATAAAAAATAAAACAATAACAAGAAGAAATACCCCCCCCAAAAAAAAGGGTGGTGGTGGTGGAGAAAAGTCTGGAGAAATGACTCAGTGGTCAAGGACATGTCTTGCTATTGCAGAAGACTTGAGTTTGTTTCCCAGCATTCACATGGTGGTTTACAGTCGTTCATTAATCCAGCTTCAGGGGACCCAGCGCCCTCTTTTGGCCTCCATAGGCACCTACACTCATGTTCACAATCCCCATAATTAAAAAGTAATAAAAATAAAAATTTAAAAGATAGATTTACAAATGGCAGTAAACCCTTTTCCTGTTACCCTGTCTCAGAGTCGTGTGTGTGTGTGTGTGTGTGTGTGTGTGTGTTTTCTGTCCTTAGAGGTGATTCTGTTCTTTCTCCTTCCAGAGGTCTTTCATATATATATAAACAAATAGCTCTGTAAATCTACTGTGCATGGTCTTTTGAGACAGGGTCTCACTCTGCAATCCAGCTGCCCTGTTACTCAATCCACTTCTGAGGCTGGTTTAGAATCCAGGTCAGTTCTCTTGAGTTCTGGGATTTCAGGCACCTGCCATAAACAACAGCTTTCCACTCCCCACTGGAGCAAGGAGGCACGGTTGACCTGCCCGCCATGGCTAATCTTTGTACTTACTGATATATCTTGAAACTTATTTGTAACAGCATCACCTTTGCTTTTACTGTAAGCTGGGGAGTATTCGAATCCCCAAACACCCTACAGTTTCTTGCCTGTTCCTTTGGGATTCTGTTTGTCTCCAATCCTTCCCTATACAAATGCCTGTACTCATTTGGCATGTGTGCAAAGGATAGCCGTGGGATAGATTCCTAAAAGAGGAACTGTTGGGTTTAGGGCTACATTTTAAATAAACGACAAAGTGGGAAAAAGTGTTCTGTTCAGATTTGGCAGAAAAATTCCAACCTCTGTGCGTCCATGGCCAGTAAATCGTCCTCTTTGGGGAAGTCATGAAGTCAAACCTGGAACAACGGGCCAGAGCTGGGGCTTTGTGTTTGCACAAGAGCATTGGGGGGCAAGGTCTATCTTATGTATGTTCCTGAATGAGTTCACTCAGCTGCTGCAACTACAGAGTGGCCTGGGTGGAAGACTCCATGGATAGATCCTATCACTGCCACACTGATGGTATTTCCCTGCAGGAAGGGCTGACCCTATTTTCAGCTGGAAGATGGAAATGCTGATTTAAAGCTAGTCATGAATACTCTCCTTTCCCATTCTAAATTCTAAGCCCACTGACCACCAAAGAGGCTCCCATTGCTACCCCACCCAAGCCAAGCACTCCTGCTACTTTAAAACACCATATGGGGCTAGCCAGCTCAGTGACAGAGCACTTGACTAGTATGCAAAGTCCTGGATTCAATTCCCAGTAACACGTACACACACACACACTATCAAAAACAAACAAACAAACAAACAAACAAACAAACACCAAAGCAATCTACCACAGCATGGCGTTCTTGCTCATAAAGTTTAATGCAGAGTCTTTATTACCTAAAAATTACATCTCTCTATATTGTGGGTCTTGATCTGCAGCCCAGGATGGCCTTGAACTCAAGATCCTCCTGCCTCAGCCTCCCAAGTAGCTGTTAAAAGTTAATTTGATTATATTCCTAGGAATCCTCATTAAAGACTTCCTATGGGTATGGTGTGTATGTGATGGTGTAGGTGTGTGCACATGTATGTGCTGGTACTCATGTACATACGTGTATGTATGTGGAGGCCAGAGGTCAGTGTTGGCTCTTTTTCCTGAGTTGCTTTCCAATTTCTTTAAAAAACATTGAATTTTATATGTATGGGTGCTTGGCCTGTATGTACATGGGGAATCCACAGAAGTCAGGAGGGGGCGTCGAATCTCCTCGAGCTAGGGTTGTGAGCTGCCATGTGGGCACTGGGAATGGAACCCTGGTCCTCTGGAAGAGGAACCAGTGCTTATAAATGCTGAGCCATCTCCACAGCCAAGGGCTTAGGTTATAGGTGTGTGCCAGCATATCCAGCTTTATGTGGTGCTGGGGATGAGGTTAGGCTTCAAGCATGCCAGATATGCAGTCTAACAACCCACCTGGGCTACATCTCTGGTCTACCCATTTTCTTTTCTTCTCCTTCCTTCCTTCCTTCCTTCCTTCCTTCCTTCCTTCCTTCCTTCCTCCTCTCTCTCTCTCTCTCTCTTTCTCTCTCTCTCTCTCCTTCCTCCTTCCCTCCCTCCCTCCCTCCCTCCCTGTCTCTCTCTCTCTCTCTTTCTCTCTCTGTCTCTCTCTCCTTCCTTCCTTCCTCCCTTCCTCCCTTCCTTCCTTTTTTTTTTCCAAGACAAGATTTATTTTTGTACCCCCTAGCTGTCCTAGAACTCACTCTGTAGGCCAGGCTGGCCTTGAACTCAGAGATCCACCTGCCTCTGCCTCCCAAATGCTGGGACTAAAAGTGTGCACCACCACTGTCCCTCCTTCTTCACTTTAACTTATTTATTATATTTGAATCTTTGAGAATATTAGACGTGTTATTGCACACACTTGCCCCCTTTCATCTGATTTATTAACATCATTTTTGGAGAGGAAGGAAAGGTTGCTTCATCGACAAACTCACAGCTAGTGAAGTCATGCCCAACAAACTCCACTAAACTAAGAGCAGCTCTCGGATGCTGACGCTGATACCTGGGCTTCATCTTCCTTCCGTTTCAAAGGCCGTGGTGAGATAGTCCTTTGGAACAATCCCGATGACGCTGTTCAGTTCTCCTACCCACCAGCCGTACATGTTGTACTCCTGAAAAGGGAAAAGGAGATGGTGGTGGTTGGATAAACACTTGTATAAATCTTGCACTGTGACAGTGCTGGGAGAGGCAGTGCCTGGCTTCTTTGCTAGCTGCCAGAAGGAACTGCGAATGCCCTTCCCAAGATCATCTATAGAACATAAAATCAGGGTTGGGGATTTAGCTCAGTGGGAGAGCGCTTTCGGGCAAGTGCAAGGCCCTGGGTTCGTTCCTCAGCTCTGAAAAAAAAAAAAAAAAAAAAAAAAGAACCTAAGATCATCTATAGAACATAAGCTCATCTTAGGACAAAGTCGCCAGAGGAGAAAAAAAAGCATGTTCATTTTGTTGTCATCCTCACTGCAGAGTGACTGAGGTGATTGAGCATACTTAATGCCACTGCTGAACCTAACAGCTTACAATTTTTAATTACGTGTGTGTGTGTGTGTTTGGGTGCCTGTGGAGGCCACAAGAAGGCATTGGATTCTCTGGAGCTGGAGTTGCAGGTGGTTGTTTGTGAGCTGCTGACAAGGGTGTTGGGAGCCAGACTCAGACTCAGACTCAGGTCCTCTGCAAGAACAGTCAGTGCTTTTTTTTTTTTTTTTTAATAGAGACAAACTCTTTAAAAAAAAAGTTTATGAGCTGTCTTCAGACACATCAGAAGAGGGCATCGGATGGCATGATGACATTAGATGTTCATTTCCCACATGGTTGCTGGGAATTGAACTCAGGAATGCTGGAAGAGCAGTCAGCGCTCTTAGCCTCTGAGCTGTTTCTCCAGCCCCTAACAGCTTTATATTTTTCTAAAGGTAGGGATTCACTATGCAGTCCAGGTTGGTCTTGAACTTTTGATCTTCCTGCCTTAGACTCCTGAGGGCTAGAATTTTAGGTATGTACCACCACACAAATGCTTTTAAAAAAATCTTTCCTCTCTCTGTCTCTGTCTTTCTCTTTTTGATCCAGTCTTACTATGTAGCCTGGGCTGACCTAGAACTCACGACATAGATCAGTGCAGATTTAAAACATAAAGCACTACATCTTGCTTTTCTTCTTTTAAAAATAATTTTATTATTTTTTAATCATGTGTGTGATTATGTGTGGAGGTGGGGGAATTTGTGTGAGTACAGGTGCCCTTGGTGGCAGAGGAGTCAGATCTTCCTAGAGACTTAAAGGTGGTTGTGAGTCACCTGATATGCGTGCTGGGAATTGAACTCAGGTCTTCTGAAAGAGCGGTATGTGCTCTTAGATGCTGAACTATCTTTCTAGACTCCTCCCCTTTAACCAAGTGAATGCTATGGCTTCTTCAGAGAAGGCTGAATACTAGCTCAAATGCCAGAACACTAAAGATATTTGGGGTGACAGGTCATAGTTCAAATCAATACTATCCATCAAGTGTCTTCCTTGTGCAGAGTGCTATCTGGGTTTCCTCAAGGGACAGAATGATGGTTTAAAACCCTGCTTACTCCTTGGGAGTTTATGGGATAGAGTAATGGCTGTCGGAGTCAGATAAGCTGGGAGCGAATCCTCAGTCGGCCGTTTGGCAGCCATGTGGCCTCAGGTTCTCCTGGTTTTACTTTCCTGATCTGCAGGGGTGGGGCTGTATGGATAGGAGTGGGCTCCCAGGGATTGGACAATGTGCTTAGAAGAGGTGGGGGTGGGGCACGGGAGTGGGGCATGGGGGTGGGGCACGGGGGGGTGGGCAGGCATATCTATAACAACCGGAAGGTAATAAATGACTGGAGGGAACAAATAAGACCTGAGGATATTTTATTTCAACAATGCTACCCACATTTTGCTCTGTTGGTGGCTGAGATTTAGGGGAACAAAGAACAGATTGGGGACGGGTTCAAATTAGGCTCCCTAGCTTTAACTGGTGATATTTTTGTTTCTAGTGTAACTCTGCTGCTTACCTTAAAAGGTAAACTACCAAGCCAGACCTTGGTGGTGCACGCCTTTAGTCCCAGCACTCTGGAGGCAGAGGCAGGGAGATCTCTGAGTTCCAGGCTGGCCTGGTCTACAGAGTGAATTCTAGGACAGTCAGGGCTACACAGAGAAACCCTGTGTTGAAAAACAAAACAACAAAACCTAACCAAACAAAAAGTAAAATACCAAGTACGTGTCCACCAAGCTGCTGAATCTCAGCCTGCCCTAAATCTAACCCATCAGCCTGCTCCTAACCCCAACTCCACCCCCAGCTTATGTCCCGGGCTCTGCTCCCCAAGTTCTTGAGTCATACCAAGATGCCCTCACTTATTCAGGCCAGAAACCCAAGTCCTTCCCAATGTCACCGCTCCCTTCTAATCAATCCTGTGTGCTGTTAGTTCCCTCTCCAAAATTTGACTGAAATCTGCCACTTATCCATTGCCAATAACTTAGAGTCACATGACGCTCACATGGGGGATACAGAAACACTCCACAGTTGTTCTCTGAGCCTGCATCTCTGTTTTCCTCACCTACTCTTCACCCTGTACCAGGATTTATAATTGCACGGAGGACACTGCTACTCTGTGGGAACCTTTGTGTGTGTGTGTGCGTGTGCGCGTGTGCGTGTGTGTTCTCATTGTCCCTTGACAACTTCTTTGCTTTTTCTTTTTGGACACAGGGTCTTTCTCTACATAGCACTTGGTGTACTTGAACTTACTCTGTAGACTAGGCTGGCCTCCAACTCACAGAGATCCACCTGCCACTCCCTCCTGAGTGCTGAGACTAAAGGCAGTGTACTAAAATGCCTGGCTCTTGCCAACTTTTGTTTTTCAAACATAATATTTGTATTGATTATTTGGGAATTTCACATAATGTATCTCAGTCACACTCACTTCCCTGTTTGTCTAGGTCAGTCTCCCATCCTTGTGACCATCCCCCCCCCAAAAAAAAAACAAAACAAAACCCTCCAACCATCAAACACAAGTCCAATTGTGTTCCCATACACGGCCAACTCCAGTGGCCAGCCCCTGAAAGAAAACTGAGTCCTTCTCCACCTGCATCCCCACCTAAAGCCTCAACTGTGGAGAGCTACACTTCAGCATCTTTATCACAATTTATAAGAGTTTCTCCTACAGCTTCCTTTTGGGAAGGGGAGGGAGACAGAGAGGCAGGCAGGTAGGAGTTGTTACAAAATCTTTCTCAGACTTTTCTGAACTGTGAGTCTGTAGTCATCATTTTGCAGATTCCACTGCAAAAGTAGCTTTCCCACCCTTTATGATCAGTGGGTGCATGGATCATGGACTTCTGCATGGTCTCCGGCATCGGCAAGTGCCACAGACCTCAGCATGGCCTCTGGTGACAGCACAGACTATGAACACCATGACAACCCCCTGCCACAGCACACCTTCATCTTCTTAAAGGGAGGGTGAGGCTCCTTGTGACCCTGTCCTGTGCTAGGTGTTGTCACCCACCTCCTCAGTAGAACAGAACTCTCCTAGGGTGCTTCCACAGGCTACAGGTTCTTCCTGCCTGGAGCTTGTCTTCTGTTTTTATAGCCTCTGTGTCTCCAGGTCGTGGAACTCACTTCTTTTTTTGGTTTGGTTTTTCAAGACAGGGTTTCTCTGTATAGTCCTGGCTGTCCTGGAACTCACTCTGTAGACCAAGCTGGCCTCGAACTCAGAAATCCACCTGCCTCTGCCTCCCAAGTGCTGGGATTAAAGGTGTGTGCCATCACTGCCTGGCTGGAACTCACTTCTAAGCAGCCTTCAGATTTCAATTCCGAGTTGCACGCTCTAAGATGCGTCCTCCTGCCACTTTGTGTCTGAGGGCTCGGTTCTATTATCCACATTGAGGACCCTGTGCTTTCCCAGAAAAGAGTTCACCACATTGCCTTCTGCTCAGTGCTAATCACCAGATGGGAAGTACTCTCTCTTTTTTCTTTTTATACAGCTTGTGTAGCCCAGGCTGGCCTTGAACTCCTGATCCTCCTGCCTCCTGAGTGCTGGGCCTACTGATGTTTACCACCACTCCAGGCTTAGATATAGTCTAGTTTCCTTCTGTTGCTGTGAGAAAACACTTTGACTAAAAGCAATTTAGGGGAGTGTGGTGGTTTGAATGAGAAAGGCCTCCTGAAGCTCACGTATTTGCATGCTTTGTCCACAATGGATAACTGCTTGAGAAGGATTAGGAGGTGTGGCCTTGTTGGAGAAGGAGTGTCACTGGGAGTAGGCTTTCAAAGGCTCTTGCCAGCCTCTCTCTCTCTCTCTCTCTCTCTCTCTCTCCTGCCCCCCCTCCCCCACCTGTTGATCAGGATGTAAAGCTTTCAGCTCCTACTCCAGAGCCCATCTTGTCTACTTTCTGGCATGGTGATCATGCAACCCTCTGAAACTATAAACATGCCCAGATTAAATGCACTTTCTTCCTTCCTTCCTTCCTTCCTTCCTTCCTTCCTTCCTTCCTTCCTTCCTTCCTT